GGACCCGACCGACTTCTTGGCGGTGCAAGGGGCGAGGAGAGGAGGAGGGCGTCGCCGCGTCGGGAGAGAGAGAGGAAGGGGTGGAAGAGGGGGGCCGAGCGTCGTGGAGAGGTCGAGGGAGACGGTACGACGGGAGGCTTCGAGAGGCAGCGGACGCGGTGGGAGCAGATATTTCCAGGCAGACATTGTAGAAGCCGGTGGGAGGAACCAGGACCGTTGATCGAAGAATCCAACGGCTGAAGTAATTGGGGTGACGTGGATGGGCCGAGAGCTGGCCAAACTCTCCCGGTTTGATAATAAGAGAGATTCTCAACAATTTGTGGACAGGCAAGCTAAAGCTAACACACCAATGGCCCAGGGCTGCGATATATATAGCGATGGTCAAGCTAGTCTGCTACTCAGTCACAAAAAAAAAACACTAGTCTGCTACTCCTACTAGTTTATGGACTTGACTACTTGAGCAGCGTTGGCTACACATGATAGCAAAACGGGCTACAAATTAAACCAGAATGACACAAGCCAAGTTGTCAGAACTTGCGTACGCTTTACTTACATAGGATCCAACATATATATATGTGCTGTCGAATCGAAGAACACGCAATTATTTCATCACACAATCAAAATTAGAGTAGCCATGGCTAGCGTGGCTTACCGTCTCCTCGCTCGCGGTCTACCTGCTGGACCAAATCGCACACGGTCGTCATCGTCACCGTAACAACCTCCCGCCAGGGCCCCGCCCGCTGCCACGAATCGGCAGCATCCACCTGCTCGGCGACCAGCCGCACCGCTCCGTAGCTTGCCTCGCGAAAACCCACGGCCTGCTCATGTGACTCCGCCTGGGCACGGTGACCACCGTGGTGGCCTCCTCCCCGGAGGCCGCCCGCGAGTTCCTGCAGAGGCACGACGCCGTCTTCGTCAACAGGTCCGTGCCAGACGCCGTCACATGTAACCACTCCACGAACTCCGTCGCGTGGCTCCCCGCCACCGCGCCGCGCTGGCGCGCGCTCCGGAAGCTCATGGGCGCCGAGCTCTTCGCCCCGCACAGGCTGGACGACGCGCTGCAGCAGCACCTCCGGCACGAGAAGGTGCGGGAGCTCGTCGACCACGTCGGGATGCTGGCAGGCAAGGGGCAGGCGGTGGACGTCGGCCGGGCGGCGTTCGTCACCAGCCTCAACCTCCTGTCGCGCACCGTCTTCTCGCGCGACCTGACGAGCCTCGGCGACGACGACGGCGACGGAGGCGGCGGGTCGTCGTCGGCTGTGGAGTTCCAGCGAGTGGTGACGGACATCATGGAGGCCGTGGGCAGCCCCAACGTGTCCGACTTCTTCCCGGCTCTCGCCGTCGCCGACCTGCAGGGGTGGCGCCGGCGGTTGGCAAGGCTGTTCTCGCGGCTGCACCGGGTCTTCGACGCTGAGATCGACCGGAGGATGGTGGAGCGTGAGGCCGGCGGCGAGCCCCGGAAGAATGACTTCCTGGACCTGTTGCTGGACGCCGCCGCCGCCGCCGCCGCCCGGGATGATGATACGGCGTGTCTTGACCGCGACACGCTACGGTCAATGTTCACGGTAAGCCGATCGAAAGGCTCTACTTCCACACACTCGCTGCACGGGGAGAAAGTGCGCATATCTGATCCGCCTAACTTTTGACATTTGATGATATTGTCGATAATCTTATGGACTAAGATTTCAATCAGTTGGTGCCTGATATTGTCGATAATCTAGTCAATGGACAGGAAAGATTTCCAAGTAGACTGTCGTGCCTTTAGATGCGACACATGTAAAAGCTCTAGCTTGCTAGTCAATGGAAAGACATAGTCTAATTAGGACAAAAGATTCGCCTACTAAACTGTGTAATTAGTTTTTATTTATATTTAATGCTAGAGACCAAAAATTCGTAGACTGAAAATTTTGGTATTTTGTAACAGGGCCCAAGTTTATCGGCTTGCATCCTTGGACAAAAGTCATTGTCACCATTGAACGTTTGTTGACAGGCTATACTTCTATATCCTTGTCTGATAGAACAATAGTACGAGATATGTTGAGATTGAAGAAGTCATGGCAGACCTTTCGCTGTTGAGGTGCATATCGCCTACTACCTAACAATATAACACATGAAGACATAACTAAGATAAATTAATGTAGTGAATTATTGCAGTTAATTTTGTTATGACCATATAAGCATACAAAACTTGGAATCCGGAACTACAAGCAGAGCCATATTTAATCGATAGGTTTTCTCTTAGATAGTTTATGATGTTGTTTTATAAGACTACAATGTCATATAAAATAAAATAAAACTTGGACGAAACATCATCTCCATCAATACAAAGTTTTATTCTATGGTTTTATAGACATTTAATTCCATAACTCATAGAGAGTTGGTAATCATGCCAAGAGAGCTTTATCTAGATGAAACTTATTTCTTTTCTTTCTTTTCTTAAATACACTGTAATGTCATTAAAAATACCTATACGGTAACCTATTTAGAGGGTGTTTAGGACTGCTGCGCTCTAGGTTTTTCAGCTCCGCTCCATACTTTTTAGTCAAACAGTTTCAGCTCACGCACTCTGTTCGAGGAAAAATAGTGGAGTTATGAGAGCACCTAAAAGGTACTCCACAAACTCTAATTTTTTTTGAAGCTGCTCCATGGTGGAGTTTGTGAAGCAATCACAACACCCCCTTAATACAAAATGAAATCCACATAAAACTCTACTGAGACTGACCTTAATGAAAAATGTGTTATGTTGCACGATAGCGATATCTAATCCATAGGATAGGATGGCTGATGCCATAAATGTTTCTGATTTTGCGAGCCTGCAAACTAAAATGGGTGAGGTTTATTAGAATCTTATAATATTCTTCTTGATTTATCTACAGTAATTTCGTTGATAACATTAATCTCATCGTGTTTATATATTTTAGGATCTGTTTGTTGCCGGGAGCGATACAAGCTCCAGCACAGTGGAATGGGCCCATGGCTGAGTCGCTTCAAAACCCATCATGTATGTCCAAAGCACGCGACGAGCTTTCAAGAGCTCTTCACTCTAGGGAAACCGTCGAAGAATCTGAAATCATCCAGCCGCCCTATCTTCAGGCCGTGATAAAAGAAACATTTCGACTGGATCCATCGATTCCTCTGCTGCTACCACGCCGTGCCGAGGCTCAAATCAAAATAATGGGCTACACGATTCCTGAAGGATCTCGTGTGTTCGTAAACGTGTGGGCGATGGGCCGAGATGAGAAGACTTGGCCTGAACCTGACAAGTTTCTGCCTGAGAGTTTTTTGGGAGTGTCGACTGATCTCAGAGGTGGAGGAGGGTTTGAGCTCATACCATTTGGTGGAGGACGGCGGATCTGTCCGCTGTGGCTTATCGTAAACGATCGTAAATTTTCAGCCGAAACAGTATTTTTCTCTCACACAAACCAACCAATAATACTTCTTCACGAACCAGCAACGAAACGAACCAGCCAACCGAACAGACTGAGGCCGTGCCTCTTTGTGCCATTGCTACACCCGTTTGATTCAGCCACCAAACCATACGGACTCGGTATAAATAAAACTGCAGTGATTTATCGTGCTTTTAAACTGAGTATGGTTTATTTTCTATCTATATCTTTTGTCCTTGTTGACACAAAGATGAGCTGACCCGAGCATTGATCGAGCATTTATGAATTTCCACATAGGAGCTTTTTTATATATATTTATCTCAATCCATATGTGTTGGGGTGGACAGACGTGAATTAAGATAAATACATGGACATCCAAATAAGCCCTCACTGTGAACTCATAAAAATCAGACCCTCTTTTGTGGAAACCTAAGACACCCGCCCGGAAGGGATCTGCCATGGCAAGTGCACCCATATATAGTTGATCCATAGTTGATAGGCCACCCAGAACATCTTACTCAACAAGAAGTATGCTTTAAAGTTTTTCTCTCAAATTAATTGTTTCTTGGTAAAAATGCAAAAGAGATTTTTTTTTTTTGTTCTCTCGAAACAAATGCAAAAAGAGATATTTAAGGTCTAGGTGCTTTTCGGGATTTAGTGGGAGGCCTAGATATAATCCCTTGAGGTCATAGACTCATAGTACCAACAAGAGCAAGCACAAGAATCATCCAAGAAATCTCAGCTCAAAGAAAATGTAGCCAATAGACCTGGAAGACACAGGTTCCAACTCCAAACTATTGAGTATTGACTCAACAACCATACGGATTTGCTGAGGAACAAATTAAAGCAAGGAACGCATGCAAGTAAACTAATTCTGGTTGGTGAAAGGTTTTGACCTAAACCGCTCACACTTTCATTGAAGTTTGAAAACCCCTTGTATATAGCCACTGTACAGACACCAATCACCTTTAAATCCTAATTTTGCATTTGGTGAAATTATATTAGATATTTAATTAAGTATTCTAAAAATATTTTTTAGACTACATCCCAATTTATTAGTAAACAAAAGGAATTCAGATGCACTCTTCATTGAAAAAGAAGAGCACCCATTATGTTATTTATTAGTTGAAAAAGTATGGGAAATGAAAAATGATACACCAGGAATTGTCTCTAAAATGGCACAAGCTAACAAACAATCCATACGATGACTGTACTGACAGTAATGAGTCCTCTCATTGTGTGTGCAAAAAACAGACGAACGGACACAAGAAAACAGGAACAGCAAAGCCCCCGTAACAGTCTAGCCACCCAATAATAGGAGAAAGCTCATGGCCCAAATTGGGCGAAACAGCAAAACTCCCTGAAAACGCATTTGCGGTTTTGGGTGGCTCAATTACAGCAGACAAACGGGGGAGGGAGGTTAGGGCCGGACGAGCAGGACAAAATAAGGCGACGGGAGAGGAGAGACAAAATTCCCTCTTGTCTCTCTCTCCCCTCCGCTTCGCCCCTTGAATCCTCCTTCCCTTTGCTATCTGTTTGTTGGGAATCCATTGGGCCGGAAGTTGATTGTTGCATTGCGAAAGAGACAGAGACCAGTGGTGCTCACCATTGAAGATGTTCACCTCGCCCTTCTCCGTGACCTCTTCGCACAGCAGCGAGCACGAGCCGGTTGCAAGGGACAGCTCCATCATCGTGGCCGTCGACCGGGACAAGAACAGCCAACAGGCGGCAAAATGGGCGGTGGATAAGCTCCTGACCAGGGGCAGCATGCTCCAGCTCGTCCATGTCAGGGGTAGGCGCCTTTTCAGCCGTTTTATTTATATATATGCCAGCGTTGGGTTTCTGCATCAACAATTCAACATGTATGATATATGAGAATAAAGGCCAATTACTCGCCTTGCTATACCAACCAACCTCAACAGCTTTTGGGCTAGGACAATTTCTGACCATTAGGAGATCTTCAGATTCAGGCTATACAATGCTAAACCATTTCAGCAATATTACACCAGACCAATTCTCCTAACAACAAGCTGATTTTAGATTAAGTGTTAACCTAAAAGTTTTGTTTCAATCGTAACAATACGATATGATGCCATTTTAGATTATCAACCAAAAAAAATGACACAAGAAAATGCCTATTCCTTTGTATGATATGCGCACTAAAAAAACTCAATTCTTCTATTCAACATGGTCTGCTTTATGTTAAAATCTTGGTCTGATTCATTAAGGCTTATCTTGTTTCATATGACCATTTACAGTTGAAGCAAACAAAGATGAGGGTGACGCAGAGATAACACAGCTATTTATATCATATAGAGGGTATTGTGCTCGTAAAGGGGTAAGTGCCCATTGAAAATTACTTTTTTCCCCCTCAAATATTGGAAGCATATATAAATGATATCGCTGCAGAATATTTATCAACTACAGAAACATCATACTGAACTGTACACGTTTAACTGCTAAATAGGGAATTTTTGGTTCCCAAAAAAAAATAGGGAATTTTGGAATCAAATGCTTCGGTATTAAAATAAGAGCAGTAATATCCAGAATGGCTGCAAGCAGTATTCACGTTTACGCCACCTTTACATCGCAGATGCATCTGAAGGAGTTGATCTTGGATGGCAGTGACATCTCCAAAGCAATAATTGACTATGCCAGTAGTAATGCCATCACAGACATTGTCGTCGGCGCATCAACTAAGAACACATTCATCAGGTACATTACCTGCTCATTCATCTTCCATGGTTGCACGCCTTTACATTCCCATGATGCCTATACTGAAAGGAGGCATGATCATTGTACTCTGCAGAAGGTTTAGAAATCCTGATGTCCCAACGTGCTTGATGAAGATGGCGCCTGATTATTGCACAGTACATGTCATCCACAAGGCAAAGGCCATCCAGGTGAAGGCAGCCAAAGCTCCTGCACCCTTTACTACTCTCCCTCCAAAGCAACACTCCCAACCAAACATAGAGTCTGATGCCTCAAGGTAAATGTGAGGATGAATTAGTTACATTGTAAAATGCTGTGAACATAATATGGTTCCCAGTAATCTGCACCTTTTGTTCTTATCATTGTAAAATGCATGGACTTTCCTAGTCAGGTCACTCTTTGCCTTCATAACTTAACATCCATGTTTTAAAAAAGAACTTGTTAATATCAGCTAAAAGGAGCATTTGGTTTTTTAAACAGGACCTCAAGAGGGGACTGGAAGAAGACTTCTCATACATCGTCTCCGTTGGCAAGTAGTAGAAATTCAGTGGACCGGTTATCTGCCTATGCAAAGGCCCCGTCGAGAGATAGGCCTCTTACTGGAGCTAGGACAGCACCCCAGAAGGATTTTGACGACTACATTGATTTCATAGCACCACCGAGGCCCTCAGTGACTCGTAGCTCCTTTTCAGATGACATTGATTTCGGAATGAGCATGGAGTTGCCATCCATAGACTTTGGTGAATCCTTGGAGCTCACCTCAGCGATGTCCATGGAAAGCCTAAGTTGTTCCGGGGTAAGTGCCTCCTCAATAAGTATAACCTTAACATTGAGTTCTTTTTGGCAAATGACACAATCTCTTGTTTTGTTTCACTTGAAACTGGAAGGATGTGGAAGCTGAAATGAGACGCCTGAGATTAGAACTGAAACAGACAATGGAGATGTATAACTCTGCATGTAAGGAAGCTGTTGATGCCAAACAGAAGGTGTGTTTGCTTCTGTATTGCTAAGTACCAGGTTCTTTCTTCTTAAGCTAACCTAAAGATATTGATTATTGAAACAATGAACAATCAACAATGATCTGACTGCAGGCAGCACAGATGCACCAGATGAAGGTGGAAGAGTCCAAAAAGTACCAAGAACTACGGAATGCAGAAGAGGAAGCTCTTGCGCTGGTTGAAATGGAGAAAGCAAAGTGCAGAGCTGCACTTGAGGCAGCAGAAGCTGCGCAGAAAATTGCAGAGCTCGAGGCGCAGAAGAGATTGAGAGCAGAATGGAAGGCAAAGCGGGAGGTTGAGGATAGGAAGAAAGCAACTGATGCACTGAACAAAAATGATATCCGGTACAGGAGATACTCCATTGATGACATAGAAGCTGCTACACATAAGTTTGATAAGGCGCTAAAGATAGGAGAAGGTGGATATGGACCTGTATATAAAGCAGTACTGGATCATACTAATGTCGCTATTAAAATCTTAAGACCAGATGCATCACAGGGACGGAAACAATTTCAGCAAGAGGTAAATCTGATACAGCAATCACAGATTGTGCTAGCCTTGAAATTTATGAAACTTTAGCTAGTAAATTCTTTGTTGATATGGTCAGTCTATATTTCACAGCTTTTCTCATCTAAATATCACTAGAAGCGCATCAAACACCAAAAATTTTCTGTTTATTATATCTCCAACGATTTGTTCACTCTCACAAAGTGGAGATTTCTTCTCTTCTCACATAAAACAAATCTTCGTAATAGAGTTTTATCATTCCAATGGTTAAAACCTTGTCAATTATGTATATGAATTCATGATCAGGATCAACCTATTTATATAAATGACAACAATAGTATCGTGCCTAAAGAAGGAATTACCTGCTAAATCACATGCTTGTGACAATTTGCAGATTGAAGTACTAAGCTGCATGCGGCATCCAAACATGGTTCTGTTGCTGGGAGCTTGCCCAGAGTATGGTTGCCTGGTGTATGAATACATGGACTATGGAAGCCTAGAGGACCGGCTCTGCAGACAAGGAAAAACATTGCCAATCCCATGGAGCATCCGCTTCAGGATCGCCGCCGACATTGCAACTGGACTTCTCTTCCTCCACCAAGCAAAGCCAGAACCACTTGTCCACCGGGACCTAAAGCCTGCCAACATCCTCCTCGACCACAACTTTGTCAGCAAGATCAGCGACGTCGGCCTTGCAAGGCTGGTGCCACAGTCCGCAGCCGATGTCACACAGTACAGGATGACTTCGACGGCTGGCACCTTCTGCTACATTGACCCGGAGTACCAGCAGACTGGCATGCTCACCACCAAGTCTGACATATACTCGCTTGGCATCATGCTGCTCCAGATCATCACGGCAAGATCACCCATGGGGCTCACGCATCATGTAGAAAATGCCATAGAGAGAGGAGCCTTCCAGGAGATACTTGACCCGACGGTGACAGACTGGCCAGTGGAAGAGGCTCTGGAATTCGCGAAGCTGGCATTGCGGTGCGCAGAGCTACGGAAGAAAGACAGGCCAGATCTTGGAAAAGAAATCTTGCCAGAGCTTACCAGGCTGCGTAATCTTGGGCATGATTATGAGACTTCCCAGGTTAGCAGCACAAGTACAAACTGTTCAAGCTCCGCACCATACAGTTTCAATAATGATGACATCTAAGTGCCATGAGAACGGATCTTCTGCCGGATTAAGCAAATCAAGCATGCTTATAACAGTATAGAGTATAGACAGACATAAGGTTGCCTTCCAGGTCTGGAAAACCACTGCCGTCCTTGCTTGTTCAGAATTCAGTCCTAACTCAGATGAGATGATCACGGACTGCAGCGCCTGATGATGGGGCCTAACATAGTTTCAGTCAACCAAACGAGATTGTTAGCGTGTAGATAAGGGGAGCATACAAAGGAAACTTATGGTGTGCATGTGTGTAAAATATGTTAATTTCATTTTAATGTAACAGCAGCCTCAAGTTTTCTACTATGGTTTGCCTCCATTATTTTCTTCACCAGCACGGTTCCTGAATTTTTTTTTAACTTGTCTCCACCAATCTCAGTGGCACCATAATAATTAGTGAATTTTCATTCCAAGAACCACAAGACAAAATAGCGAAAGCTGGGCACTCCCCTTCTCTTCCTTTTAACGCCATACCGTTGGAAAGGTAAACAGTAAATTAGTTATTCACAGGACAGATCATCTCAATACCTCAACAAAATAGTAACAGAACGAACGCAAGATACCTGAGAATCGATGACTTTTTGTCTCATGCAGCACGAAAATGCAATATTCCATCCAACATAATAGTATTCCACAAGAGTGCAGTATGATATGTCTAGTTGCTGATGATAATATTCTGAGGGGCAAAATCCCCACGCTGCTGGCATCAATCGAAACTTTGCACATCGAATGCAGGACGGGATGGCTTACAGGACTGGATCGTAGGGGGACGCCGGGACGGCGTACTGTTGACCCCCGACGATGCGAAGAGGAGCGGCGGCGGGGAGGAGGAAGTGACCGCGCCATGGCGCCCGCACACGGTGACCGCCCAGCTTCTTCGTAATCGTTGGCGCGCGCGGTCAGCATGCTCCGTATCGAACGCGCCGAGCTGAAACCGCTCCGTTCCGGGTATCCCCATAGCTACACTCCGCCGCACCGGCACGCCGCCGTGGGGAGGTGGCCCCGGCCGGTGACGGTCGATTTGCCTCGGACACACACTGCCCGGTGAGCCTTGGAAATCTACTAGTCTACTCCCTCCGTCTGGGGGGGCGTGGGTGGGGGAAGTACGCCATTTCGGAAGGAAAAAATTCTAGGTTCTTTCATTTTAGGCCATGTTTAGGTTTTCTACGAAAAATAAGAATGAAGTAGAAAATTTAGAAATAGATTTAAACAGTTGGATTGTATAATGAGGTTCTAGAATCCAACTATCGATCATAAAATTCTTACTGTACAAGGGCAATAATCACTTTGATATTCAAACAACCCCCATCTTTTATTCAGAATCTCATTCTACAATTGTTGTCTAGAATCCAGAATCTCGATGGAGCCAACGGCTCCATGCCAACAGCCATGTACCCAGTATTATATTTATTGAATTGAACGGAAGAAATATAGGCGACCGTCGTGTGCTATATATATTATTACTCAGTTGTGTTTGACACGTCTACATGATACGATTTTGCTTCTGACACCCATGGTTTGCCGGCTGCAGTCTTGACGGTTCACTTTTTCTGGCTCATGGTTCAATTCTAGCCAACATTGAAGGTGCTCTAATACAACTTGCATATAAGATTTATTAACTTTTCATTTTAAAAATGATGGAAAAAATCTGGTTTCTTTCATAAAAAGAACCATAAGACACACTCGTCACAAACATACGTACCACAAGTTCGAAACCTTGAGATGATAACGGAAAAAATCATCCATTAGATGCAAAGCATAGTATGGATTTTGATTCTAGTAGCCTACAAGCTTCGCGAATTTGTCCTTTATCTTGGTTCGAGCACTGTAATATAATTCAAAATCAAAATCAGTACAATGTAAGAAAGAGTGATTTAGGTGATTTCTACTGGTTTGATATGGAGTCGCTCAAGAATGATTAAAAGTGTGGGAGTACTCATTTTACAATTTAGATAATAAAATAAAATAAAAACTTGGTTGTGGCTCGCTCAGGCGCTTGTAGTCCTAACAGCCCCGCGTCCAAAAATCGCCCACTACTCTAGCCTCTACCATTTTGCTCCTCGCACTTCCTTCCTCAATCATTCCCACTCGCCAAGCTAACCACCCCTAACGGTGGTGTGACTAGACCTTTAGTAGTAGTGGCCTAATCTAGACACACCCTTGTAGGCTAGAATTAGATGCTAGCTCCACCAATACCTAATAAGATGGCAATCGAGTGGGTGCTACGGTGTCAACTATCTGGTCTGCCAGTGTAGGAGACACCAAGACTTGGTGTGCGGATACTAGACTGTCAGTGTACCGAAGGCAATGGCCAAATAAGTAGTGAAGTAGATCAGTGTTCCATTCCTCGTTTCCTTTTGATTTCTCCTAACAAGGCAGTCTCTGTTCAGGTCTAATCCTCCCTTTCAAATTTTCTCAAATTAAATTCATGGGTTATTAATGCTGCCATTTATTAACTTCTACCAGAATTACAATTAAAAAAACCATGACACTAAAATCCATTTTATTCTTTAGTATGTGTGTTCCCTATTATAAAAAAAAATCACTAATAATTATATATTTATATTGCATCCCCAATTTATTTTAAATGTTCAAGCTTTTATGTATAGGTTCAGATTCACTTGTTAATGTAAATGATACCATAGGTAGAGATAAATCAAATAATTGTCTATAATTACTAATTAGGTTCTTATTTTTTACCATATCATTTTTTTTATCATGTTTGTTGTACATTGAGGTACCTTCTAAAGTATACATTTTATCCATTGTTTATATGAACTATCAATATGAGGACCTATTATAGATTAGTTAGGCACTAAGATTGTGGCTCTAGGTGTGGAATTTTGCCAACTCTGCCATTGCCCGTTGTATTAGCATATCTTAGATCTTCACATGTTAATTTTAATTGCTACTCCTCCGTTTCAAATTTTAAGTCGCTTTGATTTTTTTGGTTCATCCATTTTGCTATGTATCTAGACATATTCGCCCTGTTCGCTTGGGTTTATTTGGCTTATAAGCCGTACTTTTTCAGCCAACGAACAATATTTTTCTCTCACACCAAATCAACCAACAGTACTTTCAGCCATGACTTATCAGCCAAACAAGCCCAAACGAACAGGGCGATTATTTATCTAGATGCATAGCAAAATAAATTACCAAAAAAGTTAAAACGACTTATAATTTGGAACCGAGGAAGTAGCTATTAAAAATAATGGATAAATACTTACAGTCTCAAAATAGTTGACATTATAGCATTAACAAAATACTTGACATTCTGGCTTCTCAATACATCTTTCTCTTTTTGCAATATACATTTCTCGTTCTCAATACATATCTATTCCTATGTCTCTTTCTTATAGGGACACTTTGGTCTTCTAGCTACAACATTGCTATTTGAGCACATTCCTATAACATGTATCATTTTCGTGTTTTGGAACAGAGGGAGAATGTTAAGAGGAAGTATGTCTGAAGTCTAGCGTTCTCTTTCTCCGATTGTGGCGCTCGTGCAGCACCCTGACAGTGTTATCACGAACATTCAGCCTGTTCGAGAGGCCGTATCGTATCGTGGATTATTTACTGCTGGCTGGTTTGGTGTGAGAGAAAAACACTGTTCCCAGCTGAAAATTTACGATCGTTTATGAGCAAGCGAACAGGCTGATTGCCTCCTGGGGTCCATGCCGCTTCCTTCTTCCGTGCTTACCATGTAAGTGCCGTCCAATTTTATTGTGCAATTTTTTGAAACATCCAAACTCTGGTTATTTCGACCAGCCCATAGTGAAATTATAAGTACATTTCATATTCATGTGAATTGTAAAAAATATATTTTTATTTTAAGGTCATTTAAGGTTTTATACATGTAAATAATATATTATGCTGCAAAATAATAATGGAGTCAAACCCTAAAACAATGACGAAGTGCAACATTTGGAAGTCAACTCGCAGTCAGCTATTGTGCAATTTTTTTTGAAACATCCAAATTCTGGTTATTTCGACCAGCCCATAGTGAAATTATAAGTACATTTCATATTCATGTGAGTTGTAAAAATATATTTGTATTTTAAGGTCATTTAAGGTTTTATACATGTAAATAATACATTGTGCTGCAAAATAATAATGGGGTCAAACCCTAAAACAATGACGAAGTGCGCATTTGGAAGTCAACTCGCAGTCAGCTATTGGAACAAATTTATCGTTCTCCTGTGCAACATGGGCGATACGGGCCTCATCAAGAAATAATCGATGAAGTCGACGCGTATCTATCATGTACTCATGGTAACTTTCGCCCAGAAGTCTGTAGGAATCTACGGCTCAGGACGACACACAAACGAAAGTACCCTTTATTAATCCACTTGTTCCAGAGCACAAGTTACATCTCGGCACACAGAAGTGACCGTCTCTGATCAGTGCTTGTGAGCCAGCTTCTTGAGAACACTGCCGAGGTCAGCCTCAGCCTTGATGTTCTTGACCCATTGGGCACTGATCCTTACTCTCTCGATGCTCTGCTTCACAGTCCTCGCAATGTTCGCCTTGGTTCTACTCTTGAAGAACTCCTCCACCTCATCACCATGTTCATCAGTGGCCAGCTGAAACCATGTTTCATGATGTGTCAGAAAAGTAATAAAATGTAAATGGGCTTATAAACGAGACGGGATGCAGATAGGTTATGCAACGTACTGGCGAGACGGTTATGTTGACGAAATAGGTGAGCAAAGTTCCAGAGTAGGCTCCCAATATGTAGTCCCAGTTTTCCTGAAATTATAGAGTTAGCATATAAATATATATATAGAAAATAAAGTCACAAAGCTAACCAAGAAAAATAAGGACGGCAGTGAATACCTTCAGCCATTGCCATGCGACCTCGTGTGCCCCTGGACTCACCCCTCTTAGCAAAAATATCGCGTCCTGATTCCTCACCTGCGTGTGCAATACAACATGAGACCGTGCAATACAACATGAGACCAGTAAGATGAAACAAAGTTTAACCATATCATGTGGAACACACATGGCCACCTGAACTCATGCAATAGTAAACCAATAGCACAAATAATAATTAGCATATAAATGTAAAATTGAAGAATTATGGCATGTTTATTACCTCAGGTGACAATATGAAATCCAATGCTTCACGGACAACATCAGGGTCAGGGCATGATGCCAAAGAACCTACAGAAGGGTCAGAAATTTCATGAGATCCCAGAAAAACAAGCTCACCTTCGAATGGCAAAAGAAAAATGTTCACTTGCCTAACACACGAACTTTCTCCTGGCTTAGATCAGTTTCTCTATATATCTTCAATAGTGATTCGTAGCCAGTTTTGTTCGATTTGCTCACTGTCTGCATCAAAGAAACATATGCAGCCTACAAAACAAAACAGGATCAATAACTGGGCTGTGGACCATTTAGTAGTTAGCTATTCCGTTAAGATGCTAACCTTTCTAACATCTGGAGGGAGGAGTGGTGTCTCTCTGTCTTCCAGAAAGACATTAAATCGACGAACAGCTTCATTTATGGTAGTCTCATGGCCAAGTTCTGCAAGAGCAGTTAATAGTGTGCCTCTTAACAAAGCATTCAGGTGGCCCTCACCACTCTTAGCATCCCAGCCAAGTTTCCTACAAACAATTTCTGAAATGTTAGGCAAGATCTCAGTATAAAATGTTATTCCCATTCCAGAATAAATAGAGCAATATACTTACAGTGCAAATGGCTCCAGGAAATCAATTAGGAACTTCTTCAGATTAACCAACTCCTCTGGAGCAGCAACAGCCATCATCTCGGCAACGTGCAGACTCGTCTACAGAGACAAATGGTTTAAATTGCTAAGGAAAAAAAACTAAGTATGTGAAAAGGACTTTTTAGGTAGAGAGAACATTACCGTGATTACGTGTGCAAGCACAGTATACTCAGTCTCATCCTTGTACACAGAAATCAACTGCAACAAGGAGACTAGCTTTTGTTTGCCAGCCATACAGAGGGCATAAGCATCATCAAGCACACCTGTATTTTTAATTTAAACAATAACAATGTAAGACCAGTTTGACGGGGTAAGAATGGTTCACTTGAAATAAGATTTTGGCAGAATTTACCATATCTGTCTGCTGCACTCAATTTGTTGGTTTCAATTGCATACCGAAGTCGGGATGCAAGTTCATCATCATAGCTCACCCTATAGAAGCTGGTCTGGTTGACATTAAGTTTAATCCAGAAGCTACACTTCTTTTGGCATTCTGTGAGCCCTAACCCTGATAAATCAAAATCTTCTTGTTTCCCATGAAAAAGGAACTTCTCTTGGCGTGAGTACGCACAACAACATAGTGTGACAGGAACCACCCATTGCCCAGCTCCTGTGGACCCACTTGAAAGAAATTGTGTCTGCAAGAAACAAGATCGAAAGATTTTCAGAAGGCCTCTAAAGCAGAAACTAAACTTGATTTTGCAAATGGAGAAAAAGTCTTGCAAATTTACAGGATTTCGCAAACATGTCTCCAGAAAGGTCTACAATATACCTGCTCCAGCTGGACCTTTCCATCCTTGAGTTTCACACTGACAACAGGATAACCTTGCTGTTTTGTCCATGAATGCATTAATGTTCTAACTGGTTCACCAGACCCCTCTTCAAGGGCAGCCCATAAGTCCTCTGTCTTTGCATTTGAATACGCAAATTTTTTGATGTATGCGGCCAAAGATTTCTAGCAAAAAGAATAAAAGGACAGCTTCTGGTTACCACTGAAAATATATTTGAGATATCCTCATTGACAAGTGACAAACAACATGAAATTTATGTGCATTTTGCAATAATGTATTAATGTGTTCTCAAAGAATAGCATTAATGTACAATTAATATCTCTAGCATGCCGCCCAAATGTCTAAGTATATATTTAGGAAGAAAAAACATATCAATTAAACTCCTAACAAAAGCTTATGTGCATAGTCTAAAGATTGCCTCCATTATTAAAAAAACTAAGTGGCATTTCACAAGTGGGGCTAGGTGACATTATAATTCAGCCACACAATTATACTACTATTTTTTTTAAACTGTGCATTTTTTTTCTTGACAAACAAAATGAAGAGAGTAATGAATAAGAAAACCAAACCTGAAAGACCTCAGCCCCAAGATAGCTTTGCAGCATCCGAATGACAGAAGCTCCTTTCCTATAGCTTATAGCATCAAATATCTCATCTATTTCATCAACATGATTTATGTCCACCTGAAAATAATATATTATTAAGCCACATGAAATGTGCATCAATATGTGCCAGTTTTAAATATGCATTGATTTTTATTCTGCCATTTAAACTGCACTATCAGTATTTCATAGTGTGCCCCAAGTCTCTACAGACAATGCCACAATGGTTATCGATTTTTAGAACAATGATAATAGAAATATTGTACCACACTTTATAAAAGCACTAGAAACCTGGGGCTTTGTTGACATTTTTTTCAATTCTCCCATCTCCAGTAGAATAGGATATTTTGATTGATTAGAAATATGCTACAGCCCCATAAAAATATTCAGCTTACATAATAGCATCAAAATTGGCCAATACAACCACACATCGTTTTCATCATCAAAATACTTCAATCGTATTCGAATTAATAACTTTGCTAACATATAACAACCAAAATTTGGCTAAGTTAGCCTTGAGACAAGCAGGTACGAGGTAGTAGAACACAATTCAAAACATTCATTATAACATTAATAATGATGGGTGTAATCCCAATTTTAGTCCCAGTAGTCAGTAGAGGCATCCACTGATACACCAATGTTTTGCCACAAAATAAAGGTGTAGTAAATACAAAGCCAATCATATTTATATTTAGGACTGGTAAAATTAGACAAGCAATCAACGGTCACATCCATGTCTCAGACCTCCAAGTCCACTTAGAATGTAGAATATACATTTGTAAATTCCTACAGATATGGTCATAACATTGCAGGGAAAAAAAATGTTACCTCAATTGGATGTGAACCTGCAAGAGCATCCAACTGGAAACCTGTTGTAGATTCCTCTAGAAACTGAGTCCAAACATTCCATTCAGGGAAGAACTGATCTGCAGCTAAGTAAGACACCTGCAGTGGAAAGAACAAATTATATGAGAAACATAAAATTATATGGAGGTTTTCAATTACTTTTTTGTTCTAATTTATTACCCAAGTCGCAAAGCCCTCATTAAGCCACAGATGTGTCCACCACTCCATTGTGACAAGATTTCCAAACCATTGATGAGCTAATTCATGAGCTACAACAACTGCAACCTGGATAGGCAAAAAAATCATCATAAGGTTGGTGTGACAGCACATGACAATCAAACAGCTACTGCATATCTGAATCAAACCACTACAAAATACTATAACATCCTTCTGCATTAATGATTATTAAATTGGTTAGTACAAAGAAATTAGTTCTGTAATCAAGTTCAGCATTCTCAACTATTGCCCAATTCAAATGGTTTCAGGTACCATGGGAAAATACATAATTAAGATGGTGAATCACATGACCAGCTTAGTACAAATAATTGAAAAATACAATTTCATAGTGACCAACCCGTTGCTTATTGGCAGCTGCAGAGTGTCTTTCATCAAATAGCAATGCTGTTTCACGGTATGTAACCAAGCCGTAGTTCTCCATGGCTCCAGATGCAAAATCCGGAATAGCAATCATGTCCATTTTGGGGAGGGGGTATGGCACAGCAAAATACCTGCCAACATAAAGAATTCATCAATCATCATTACCTGATACCACAAAGAGAGCTTTGTGTGTGACAGTGAATCAAGCAGAGGATGTGACACGGATGCCTCAAATGATCATCAAATTCACAAGAAGCAGATGTTCTTTGAGAGGGTATGGAAGGGCCATAACATTGATTTTTTTTATAATCAAAGCATGAAACATCATTTACAAATTTGGAAAGGCCTTAAACCGTCAGTCCGATTTTGGGAAGGCCAACATCACATCTACACTGCATCATCAATATTGAAACATGTAAATACTCACTAAGCTCGTAATGGAATGGAATGCATCCACAATTATACTGGACATCAAGAAATAGAGCCTCTAATGGAATGCATCCACAATTTCACACACATGGCAATCAAATCAATCAACCTATAGAACTCAATTCTTTGCAGAATATCTTGGCCAGGATCAGTATCAAAATTCCAAAATAATATTATCGGATTAAATAAACTATGCATCTATGAGCACTGCAACAAAAATGTAGGCGATCTTTCAAATATCTGAGAATGTGAGATAATTACTCCTTGAAGAGGACCAATGTCTTCAAGGCAACCTCTAGAGCAAACTTCCCCTGCGCACTCTTACCAACTTGTGTATAAACACGGACCCTAGTTCCTGCAAAGGAATGGAGAACAAATCAACTTTTGAGGCAGCCATAAGATGAAGGATAAGGAATTGGATGTTAATGTGACAGAAGTTACAGTACCATCTGTGGTGAAATCTTCCACATAGTCAAAAATGCCAACAATAACAGCCACTAGGTATGTAGACATTATCGGAGATTCTTGGAAGTAGACTATTTTGGTAGGACCATTGATCTTCTCTTCAATGACTGGCATATTTGACAAAGCAATGGTCTCAGAAGGAACTTCTAGAGTAATTTTGAACACAGCCTGCAGGGAGAGAAGGAAAGGTCAGACATAAAATAGTGTTTGCCATGTAATATAAAGCCATTAATGTTTCTTCTGTGCCAATTACGCATTTTAAACACTGGTTAAACCAGTTAAGTTAAATCCTAACCATGATATCAGGGTAAAATGAATGAGATCATACAATAACCCTAACCATCAAATCAGATTAAAATGAATTGAGATCATCTATAGAATCTATGAAGGGACAACTACACAGAATCTCAATCTGCATGAGCACAGATATGTCCATGTAGAGAATAAAACCTCTGTTTTATCCTTAACACTAGCATCAATTGAACTTGTTCATGATTACCATGCAAGACTCTAAGTCTATACACATCTTACCTCATGCAATGGAAGCAAAAGCAAAAATAAGATAGTATAAAGAATAGAAGGGAGTAGATAGAAAGACAAAGTGGTGAAACTTGAACGGTGCCTCTCCATAAACCCCATGCAGGGTTCTATTTCCTCATGCAAATGTAAATAAAAAAGCAAACATATTGGTCGAGAAAGAGATCAAAGCAGTAAACCTTGAAAGCGGGCTCATCCCAACAAGGGAAGCAGCGCCTTGCGTCAGCTGGTTCGAACTGTGTTACAGCCATGTTTTTCTTCTCGCCATTGAGCTCATACACACTATAAACAAAAAGTTGCATTGTGAATATGTCGCCTGATTTACAAATCAACTTAATACTAGAAAAATGATTACCTTCTGTAGAACCCATGCATCTTATCATTCAAAGTTCCCTGGAAGGCAATGGTCAAAGTTCCCTCCCCAAGAGGAAGCACCTCATTGAAGCGAATAATCAGGATCTCATCTTCTGGCACGTTGGTAACCTCCAAAGGTTGCAGCACCTGATTCAAATGATAACATGATTTAGAATAAATGCAGAGCAAAGTGCTAGTGCATTGTTAGAAACACCATCATAAACCCTCCAAGACGACTATCACCATCCACACATGGCCCTTTTTGCAAACCATCCTAAGTGTAAAAGTGCTATTCCCACTCAGAGATTAAAACATGCAGCGTACAGTTTCAAAAATGAGAATACTTGTATGATTGCAGGAAACTCTTATGCTTGAACAAGTATACAAGCAGCCGTAAGTATTAAACCATATCACTGAGGCATCTACGAGTATTGAGACCTGCACTGACAGTTATATTTATATTCGTGCTCCAAGTGTAATCTAAAATTGTTTGAACACAAAATCATGGATTTCAGTCAATCAACTAAGAAATTTTAAGGTAGATTTAACTTGCAATCAATCAAATTGCAAGAAATTCCGAGGTAGCTATAGCCCTAAAAAACTACACTAAGTTTAAGACAGCGATCTCATGCCCCCAACCCCGACCCCCTCCGACAGACAGTCACCAATGGCTGAACTGTGAAATTGCTCTGAGCAGATCAAAACTTAGTGTTTTTATGCGACTGGTATTCTGGTAAAAAAACACTCCATCTAAGAATCCTAGCTGGCACCTCCGAAAAGATCGCCACAACATCTAATAATTCTCTAAACCCCTAACCTTACACGAACAGATCAATCAAACACACCCGCGCACAGGCACAGCGACGGGCGGGCGGGAGCAAAGGCAAGGCAAGCGAGCGAGCACGCAACCTGGTCGGAGCCCTGCGGCGCGAAGCTGACGCCCGCGGGCGCGACGTGGAGCTCGGCGGCGTTGAGCACGAGGAAGCGGGTGGGCGCGGCGACGGCGAGGGACACCGCCACAGAGCCGGCGAAGGCGCAGGCGGCGAGGTCGGGCGTGAGGCGCAGGTCGTACCGGCGCGGGGTCCCGAAGTGGGGCAGCCGCGCCTGGCCCCGGAACTGCTCCGCGGTCTGCTCCGCCGCCATCGCCCGCAGCCGCAGCCTAGCGGAAGGAAGGAAGGAGGCAGAGATTCGGATGGAAGCCTCGGAGGTGAGTGGAGGAATCTGACGAAGCGCTCGCTCGGTATGGCGAGGGGACGGGGGGTTTTAAGCGCTTTGCGGTTTGCGACTGTGATCTGGATGATTACGCGGAGGAAGGACGATTTTATATATATAATAATGTTTTTTATTTTATTTATTTATACTCGGTGGGGACCCCTGCGTCCCTGCCGCAACGCCACGGATTTGCTTGTGACTGGGGGCGGCGGACGCGAGAAACAGCAGCAGCAGAGGAGAGCAAAGCAAACAGATCTCTGTGGTGGTCGATGGGGTCGTGAACTACGCCGCGCGTGCGGGAAGATAGAGATTGGAGCTGAGGGAGGAGACGTGGGGATGGAGGTTACCAACTAGTGAAGCACGTCTTCTCCGGTTACGCCGAGGCTTGTTAGAGACACCAGCCATTTGGCTGGGCTTTATTTTTTTTTTTCTTCAGCTTTATGAACAGTTTCACCGGTGGAGCTGAAGCGGTTTCAGTAAACCGTTTGACAAAATAGCTTCTCTGTGAGAGCATGTTTTTAGGGGTCTGGAGGAGGAGCCGGGAGAAGCCACTTTTTTTTTGGCTCCATCCCACCCCAAATCACTGTGAGAGCATGTTTTTAAGGGCTTCACAAGAGAAGCTATTTTGCCTTACTCCGTTCGGTAGAAAACGGCTACTGAAGCCGGTAGAGAAACCCTGCTAAACAGAGCCGTATTTGTAAGTAATGAATGAATTATTATTTAGGCATATAGTGTCATGGCTGACTAGAAATATAGTGGAATATTTAGACATGTACGTATCATATAGCTGTCATGGCTGGCTAGAAAAGAAAATGACTAGTAATATGCTTATGAATATTCAAGGAACCACGTCTTGGAGCCAAGACACCACTAACTCCGAATATATTCGTCTTGTAAAAGATATGTTAATCGTGAAACCTGTATGCCATTATCATTGCCACTAACTCGAATATATTCGTCTTGTAAAAGATATGTTAACCGTGAAACCTGTATGCCATTATCATTGCCACTAACTCAAATATATTCGTCTTGTAAAAGATATGTTAATCGTGAAACCTGTATTCGGATGGAAGCTTCGGAGGTGAGCGGAGGAAGCTGACGAAGCGCTCGGTATGGCGAGGGGACGGGGGTTTTAAGGGCATGTACAACGGCAATAATTACACCGTTTGTATACTGTATATTTTGCAAAAACATCCCTGGCAAGCTTGGAGATGGGCGGGGTCGTCGTCTCACGAGGCAACGACTGCGGCTCGCGCTCCCAAGCTCACGCGACGGCAGATGCAGCGTTGTACGGGCGTCGTCTCTAGGCTACACACGCTCGGGATCCAGTTGCGGCCGCGCCTGGTGGCTCAGAGCACCGGAGCTGTCACCGGTGCTCGCCGGCGACGGCGCCATGTGCTCGCCGGCGACGGCGCCATGATCATTCCCTCGTATTGAACTTAGTTTCCTCTTATTTATTTTTCAGAAAACTGCAGTTCTATTTTTTGTGATTGCAGTTCAGTTTCAGCTCTAATCTATGGAAAACTGAATGGCAGCTCTGATTGCATTGCAGTTTCAGTTTCAGTTTTAGTTTCTGTTGATGGAATGATTTTGTTAGTGATGTTCTTTTGCAAAAAAGTTTATATGCCTGTCTTGCATGAACTAGAGATGAACTGAATAACACTCGGTTCTCAGTCCTAAAATATATGTGAAAGGGAATTCTTGTTGTTCTAGTAAACCAAATACTTGCACATATTACTTGTTGTGGTCTTATTTTTAGTGTACTGAACACTTGCACATATTAAATAGCAACACAATAGTATACAAAATAATATTCATGAATGATCTTGGCTACATGCAAAGTATTAAACCGTTCACAGACGACTCCTGTTTGTGGGTTGTACGGTCAGTCTCTCTAGCTGTTTGTACATCGGATTCGAGGCTCTGGTAGACGGCCTCTCTGAGCTGTGCATGCCCTAAGCGCTTTGCGGTTTGCGACTGTGATCTGGATGATTACGCGGAGGAAGGACGATTTTATATATATAATAATGTTTTTTATTTTATTTATTTATACTCGGGGGTGGGGACCCCTGCGTCCCTGCCGCAACGCAACGGATTTGCTTGTGACCGGGGGCGGCGGACGCGAGGCACAACAGCAGCAGAGGAGAGCAAAGCAAGCCCTTGTTTAGTTCTCTAAAAGTGCACTATGCAAAAAGAAGATTCTTCGTCACATCAAACTTGCGGTATATGCATAGAGTATTAAATGTAGACGAAATCAAAAACTAATTGCACAGTTTGTTTTAACTTTGCGAGACGAATCTTTTGAGCCTAATTAGTCAATGTTTGGACAATAATTCACAAATACAAACGAAATGCTACAGTGGAGAATCGTGCACTATGCAAAGTTGCATGTGCCAAACTAAACGCGCCCCAAACAGATTTCTGTGGTGGTCGATGGGGTCGTGAACGGATTTTCTTTTAATTTTCTTGTTTCTGGAAATTTTTGTTTTGACCTACGCCGCGCGTGAGGGAAGATAGAGATCGGAGCTGAGGAGGAGACGTGGGGATGGAGGCTAGCAACTAGTGAAGCACGTCTTCTCCGGTTACGCCGAGGCTTGTTAGAAACACCGATAGAGAGCTGTCTCCAGCCACTTTGTATTTGGAACTAATGAATGAATTATTATTTAGACCTATGGCCATGTTCGTTTCACTGAAAAAAAACAAGTCGAAATACTGTTTCACCTGATTTGTTGTGAGAGAAAAATACTATTTCGACTAAAAAAAAACAAACTGAAAAATACGGATTATAAGATAAACAAACATGGCTATAGGGTCATGGCTGACTAGAAATATAGTGGAATATTTAGACATGTACGTATCATATAGCTGTCATGGCTGACTAGAAAAGAAAATGACTAGTAATATGCTTATGAACATTCAAGGAACCACATCTCGGAGCCAAGACACTTATGGCCATTATCATTGCCACTAACTCGAATATATTCTTCTTGTAAAAGATATGTTAATCGTAAAACCTGTATTTGTCGATCCCCAAAACTCCATAATCACCATAGTAGGGCCTTGGTGCGTACGTTCACCTTCACGTGCATTACCCATTGTGGAAAGGGCTTTGTCAACACTAACAGTTGCAATGGGAGATAGTAGCGCCAATTCGAGAAGTTTCTAAACAACATCATTTGTTTAAGTGTTTCTTTGCTTCAACAAGCATTATGGAAAGATGTACCGTTAGCTAGCTAGCAAAATATATCAATAGTAACCCAGCTATGTGTTGAATATTTAATCATTTTATGTCAGGGCAAAGCCACCCTATAGACAACGTGGGGCGGCCGCCCTAGCTACCAGCTATCAGAGATATGGGACAGGGGTACCTGCACCGTCCGTATATATGACCACCACCAAACTATCGGCCCAACAGCCGTCAAGGAGGAGGCCCGCAAGGGCTGACGCGATCCTGCCAACGTGGAGATCAAGGCAAACCAAGACAGACGTATCTGGACGATAGCTAGGATCAATCTGTTGTAACAAACTAGGAACACAATCTATTAGCCCGATCGCCCTCTCTCTAACCCTACCTCTCCTGCCTATATAAAGGACGGTAGGGACCTTAGGCTCGGGATTCAATCTTCCACCAATTCCATCTATCTCGTAGCTAGGAGCAACAACCCTTGTAATTGAGCATACGAATACAAGAGCAGTTGCACCATTGGAGTAGGGTTTAGCGCGCACCGCGCCCTAAACCAGTATAAATCTCTGTGTCTCGTGTGCTACCATCTGATTCCGTCTACGTGATCACGTTGCTGGATATTGCCGGAGCAAAACAATCCGACAGTTGGCGCGTCAAGTAGGGGCCTTTCGCGTTCAGACTAATTTTGTGTTTCAGATGGGAGTCATCTTCAACATTGGCGACGAACCGGAGCAGGAGCAGCCGGGCAAGAGGATCATCTTCGGCAAGCTTGACTTCATCGCCGATCAATTCGGGGACCTGTGCCTTCAGGAACCTGAGCCAACCGAAGAAGGAGAGCGGTCCCTCTAGATCTGTGCTTTTGCCATCGGGCTGGAGGAGGCTGTGGACGCTAGACCGGACATCCTCGCGGTATACCTGAAGCGTTACGCTCATCTTTACGTTGAAGATGGACGAGAAGGTGAGGTCGTCCCCACTTTTCACATCAGCAAAACCATGGATCTCGACTCCGCATCAGGTCTGATACCTATACCTCACAGCGACGCCCCCTAATCTTTGACAAGAATAGGGCGCGCAATGACAGCCCGTGGCAAGACACTCTCGCAGGCTACAGTGGAACCCACCGAACCTCCCACAGAGGAACACCAACCGTAGGAACCAACGGACCGTGACAACGTTGAAGACATCCCCAATCAACAAGATTGGTGGGACGACGCCGATGTCTCCGGACTCATTGATCTGGAGGCCTTCCGCCGTTTTCTCTATGGCTGCGACCAGCTACTCGAGAACTCGGACTCTGACGGCGATGGCGATGAAGCCATCCCACGGACGCCGGACACCAATACTGAATCATCACCGGACAAGCAGCCAAAACTTGGACAGTCCCCGCCGATGAAAGGGTAAGACCTTTCCCGTAACTGGGAAGGGTAACAAGGCAGCGTGACCGACTACTCGAGCACTGACCCTGCTTCGGGTTACTCCCGACTCAAGCTGCACACTCGCATCTGGCGGCCGACGGCCATGGGTAAGAGGGGGTTGTCGTTCCTCCCCCAACGAGAAGGGAACCCCCATTAGCCAACAGATCGTCAAGACGAAACACCCGAGGGGAGGGCTCACATTACCGACAGCACCCCCAAGCCAAGCAAGGTCAAAGGCTCTGTGAGCCGGCCTACATGCATAACTACACGACTGCACCAGTCGTCTTGGTATGTTCTTGCCCGCCGAAGGATCCGATTGCTCCCGACTCATC